ACACACACACACACACACACACACACACACATACACACACATACGCAAACACATAAACACATTTACATACAAACGCATATTATATACACACAAACATACATGGCAAACACACTTTTACTCTGACATGTTTAGTTTGTTGTGGTTGTCGTTGTTGTTTTGTTTACACCAAACATGAGGCAGAAGCCAGATCAAAGTATCTTACTTGGCAGATATCGGCACACTCGACATTTGGAACGGTCCCCCACTCGTGGTGGGAGTTTGGCAGGTGTTTCGCCCGTAATTAGGGCCGCCGTTGCCTCCAGGAAAAGTTGGGAAGGTCAAATCACCGTTTCCAGGAAAACCGTTACTTCCTGTTCCAGGGAAAGTGTTTGTGCCTGTACCAGGAAAGTTGTTGTTCCCTGTTCCTGGAAAGGTGTTAGTTCCGGTTCCTGGAAAAGTATTTGTTCCGGTCCCTGGGAAATTTCCAGAACCTGTTCCAGGGAAGGTGTTCGGGCCGGGAAAATTTCCAGAGGATGGAAAATTACTCGGGAAGTTGAAGGATCCTCCAAAGTCAAACCCTAAATTCGGAAAGCTGCCGCTTCCAGTTTGTGGATTGTTGTTGTTGTTGTTGTTGTTAGCGTTGTTGCTGTTGGCATTGCTAGGGTTACCGCCGCTCGTGCTACTACCAAAGTTGGGAAAGTTGGTGGCACCACTACCGAAGTCGCCGTTGCTTGGCAGGGAAGGGAAATTACTTCCTATGCTACCAAAATTGTTGGCAAAATCTGGGAAAGGTATATTTCCGAAACCATCTTGTCCATTGTTGTTGTTATTGTTATTATTATTGTTGTTATTGTTACTGTTGGTGTTGGAGTTACCGTTTGTCCCGGGGTTCAAGTTCCCTCCAGGTGTACCTTGATCAGGGTTTACAGTGCCACTCGAGTCCACTGTTATGCCGCCCCCGGCAGAGGGCGCCTCTGGAAATGTGATTGCATTCCCGCCAGCATTTGCGCCGGGGCTGGGGTTGGGATTAGGGTTGGGGTTAGGATTGAGGTTGAGATTTGGGTTGAAACCTCCTGTCGGAGCGCCTCCGGTAGCTCCACCCCCGCCTAAATTGACAGCATCACCCCCTGGCACCCCGCCTAGACTAAGCCCGCTTCCAGTTCCTGGGGACCCGCCCCCTAAATTAACGGCCCCGCCCCCACCTCCGAGATTGATGCCTTGTGACAGAACGCCCGTTATCACGAACGATAACAAGAGTGTCAGACGATTAAGTAGCTCAAACATTGTCTGTTCTTGAATATCCTGTGGAATAAAAGAATAACACTTGATTTAGTTCAATAGTTTTCATTTATTACATCACAGAGAGATAGTTAACTTACTTTCATAGAGATGATAATAGTAAAACATAAATGCGTTTTTCCACCACAATACAATAACACTGACAAAGAACAATGTGCTGTGCCATTGCACAATACGTGTACAAATACCCAAAGATTTTTCTAAAAAGACAATCATTATAAAACAATCCAGACGTTGGAAATTGGAAAATCTCCGAAACAGTGCTGTTGTCAGGGGTTCCAATGACTAAGTGGTTAGTGAGCCCATGCTCACGATAATGTCAAAAGCGTGTCGGTGACACAGCTTTTTCATATAAATGGGTGGTCACCTGTGTGTGTTCTTGAGCAAGGCACATTGTAACCACAGCGCTGCACAGTGGTGACCAGTATTGTTGTGTGTTTGTACAACATGTTTACGGTCTAATGTGTTGCGACCAAAAACCAAGTTAGTGATCCGGATAAGCAAAAGGATTTCCCTGAATATAAATTCCGCGCAAAGCCCCCCCC